TGTGTGTGTGTGTGTGTGTGTGTGTGTGTGTGTGTGTGTGTGTGTGTTCTGTAAAGTGCAAGGCATGCACGGGCCAGAAAAACCTCTGGAGTTGCTTCTCTTTTTCTGTAGTTTTCAGGGATTGAACTACAGGCATCAGCAAGGACTTTTACCATCCAAGCCATCTCACTGATCAGAGATTTCACTTTAAACAGGTGTCTACCCAAGACATGGTAAGGAAAGGGGGGCTTCCCTTGCTTTGAAGGCATGGGGGCCTGAGCTCAGTTTTCAGAACCCTTGTGAAAAAATGACTGGGTGGAATGGCATGTGTTTGTAGTTTCAACACTCATTGGCTGAGGGGTGAATTACTGACCAGCAAACTTACTTGGCAAGTTCCAGGCCAGTGAGGGAGGTGGTGGACAGTCCTAAACTGTCTCTGACTTCCATGTGCATATGTATACATATACTAACACCAAAAGACAGGAAGTGCAGAGAGTGAGAAAGAGTGCGGTTTGAATATCTGAGAAGACTTCTTCAGGCAGAAGAACCGTGGGTAGATAGGTCCTGTGTCTGTGAACAGTAGGAGGGACCTAGGGCCATTGTGTTGAAGGCAGAATACCAGGCATATGAGACCTGAAATGGAAAGGTGGGGTTTGCAGCAGCAGGCACTCTGTAAGCAACAGCTTGTCTTTGTCTCTGCCTCCTCACCAGTGTAGTAACTAAGGGACCAGAAAGCTCTTTCAGGCAGGATTCCTCATAGGTAAAGCTGTATTCCTTTCCTCATGCTACCCCAGCAAACACAGTGGGAATGAATACCTTATTTAGAAGAATATTTGCTTTATTTGGGGTTTGGTTTTGACTACAGTTTTAATTTTATGAGACAGGGTCTCATTAGGTAGCCCAGGCTGGCCTCAAACTTTTTTCTTTTCTCTTTTGAGTCAGGGTTTCTCTGTGTAGCCCTGGCTATCCTGGAACTCACTATGTAGACCAAGCTGGCTTCAAACTCAGAGATCTGTCCCTGCCTCCTGAGTGCTGGGATCAAAGGCGTGTGCCGCTGCCTGGCTTGGTCTCAAACTTTCTGTATAGGCTCTCTGCCTCAGTGTCTGGAGTGCTAGGATCATAGACATACATCACTACATTTGGCTTGTTTTCCTTTTGGGAGATGACTGAGGTCTGAATTTGGATTGTCAGGGCTGCTAGACAAGCACTGGCACTGAGCTAGATGCCATGAGCTAGATGCCCACCAATATAGCAGATACTTTTAGAGCTTTGGAGGCTGGATGTCTGGATGGAGATGGCAGCAAGGCTGTGCTCCCTCCGTCCAGACATCCTGTGCAAGCTCCAGGTGCACCTTGACTACTGTAGAACTCCAGCATGCATGCACTTGTATCTGCATGTACCTGCATCACCATCCCTTTTATATAAGTCACAGCTACCCAGTGGCAGACAGATCTCTGAGAGTTCAAGGACACCCTGGTCTACAGAGTAAGTTCTAGGACAACCAAGGCTAAACAGAGAAACCCTGTCTAGAAAAAAAAAAAAAGATTTGGCTATCAACCTTAGGTTGTCATCATTACCTCTACAAAGACCACCTCTAGACAGCCATACTTGGGACTGGGATGAGGATTTCCTTTTTGGGAGAACAAAACTTAGTCCATAAGAGAAGCTGCACTTTTGGGCCACCCTTCCACAGGAGGCCACTGGGAAGCTCCAGGCCGACTTGGGGCAGAGAGGACTCTATGACAAGGGTTTAGAAAGCTTTTACTGGATGCACAGCAGGACAGAGGTAGACTAGACATCCGAGGGTTCCCCGTGAGAGTGGGAATTGGTATAGAACCAGGGTGCAGGGTGTACAACCTGTGGGGCTCAGCCAATGTGACACTCAGTATCTCTTTTCTTAGGCCTAGGTGATGTGCTTTGCCACCCCTTCAACCTTAGTTTGAATCAAGCAGTATTTCCCCAGAGGAAGATGGTAGAGACAGGAAGGTAAAGTCAGGCTCTTGCTCTTCCCTAGAGGGACCAGCAACTAATCACATTCAGTCTGGAATACCCAGTTCAGAACCATCCTGGGCTCACTACTCCAAAATACCAAGACAAGGGGGCCTGAGCTATGGGGCTTGTGGCTGGTAGGGCAGAGGACCATGGTTCCCAAGGCCTAGAGCTAAAAACACCCCCTTGTCCTCTACCTCACCCAATCCCACCATTCTCTGGGCTATCTCTTCTTCTAGGGCCTTCTTATGAACCAAAGGATGCTAGAGACTCTGATGAAGGTGGTGGCAGCTTACTCTGTAGTCACAAGTAGACTTGATCTGCAGTCACTCATCAGTGATCCAGCGCTTACATAAAGATTCTCAAATGGCCTCTGACCCACCATGACAGTTCCAGTTCTGTTGCCACCACACAAAGGAAGGAAACTCTGAAACACCCTTAACTTGTCATGAGATTTAAAACAAAACAAAACCCAGTTATGTGAATGTTTTGGTTTTAATCTCAGGTGTGGGATAAAAGGCTGCTTCATAGCAGGTGACGATGATTTGCTTCATGCACTAGCAGTGGCGTGATTTTTGCCAGTTACAGATAGTTTAATTCTGGAGAGGGTACAAATGAGAGACTCCAGAGAGGGCCTGAGGAGGCTGCTGCTCCTGGTTTCTGATGTTACTGTTTGATGAGAAGTTGGAAATATCCTAACAACGAAGATTGAACTTGACCCAAGGAACTCAATGCCCCTATCAGTAGTAAGTAGCTGAAAGAGGTCCATACCCCCTTTCCCCTCTAACCATCTTTTTCTCCTACCTACTGTTGAGGTTGAAAGGGATTAGTGTACAATAAGGATGGAAGGGAGTAAGAGATATAAGAACCCAATAAAATAGTTTTTAAAAAAAAAGCCAACACTCATTACAACCTCAAAGTTTTATTATCAACTGTGCACACTCAAGTTCACACTCCTATGGTGTACAGCTTATAACAAGGGCAATGGGAGATGGCAGGGGTTGGTTAAGCCACTTGTTGAGATGTTCTTGTTCAGAACCCACAACCCTGGGCAAGCAGGGGTCTAAGAGATCACAGGGTCCATACTACAGGACTGAGTAATGCAAATGCACACTGGGTCCTTGTGTATGCACAACCACTGAACACACAGGAACACAAACAAATACAGGATCTCCAGTTTCTATAAAAAGTCTGCTTTTGTTACCTGTCCAGGGAACAGACACACTGGCCAAACATGTGAGGTGAGAGGCATAATCCTGCTCATCAGTCAGGTGCGTATATGTGTGTACACAGTGGTGGTGGGGTTGAGCAATAGGTCTGTGTGTTCACATATGACATACCTAGGCCTGACTCAGACCTAGTATTTAACTCTGTCATTCTCCATTGGTACAAAGAGAAACCCTGAGCTGAGTATGAGGACACAGATTAGAACGACCTGGTCCTAGGGATGCTGGCTGAGCCACAGACATGCAGGGTGGCCATGAAGGGTTCCCATCTATGCTGGCTCTTGAGGTACAGCATCCTAGGAACCTGGCAAGGGCTAACTCTGTAGTGTGAACTCGTAGGTGTTGGTCTCCCAGCGGGATGTGTCTTTGTCCAGCATGCTTCGTTCTGTGAAGGTCACATGGCCATCTGCATCCACAAGGATGATGGTGTTGGTTCTGAAAGAAAGCATCCTTTAGCCCCAGCCCTTTTCAGAGCCATGGTTGGGACCTGACCTGAGGCAGGAAGGGTACCCATCACACCCAGGGCCTGAGCTAGCCACTCAGCTCTGCCATCAGGTAGGCTATTTAAATAATAGCCTCAGCTTTGCATCTGGGCCCACTGGCCAGCACATACTGGGAGAGTCATATTACTGCTGCTCTATAACACTTCTGCCTAGCCTGGCCTTTGTCTATAGCAAGAATCAATTCACAGGCTGGGCGGTGGTGGCGCACGCCTTTAATCCCAGCATTCAGGAGGTAGAGACAGGTGACTCTATAGGTTGGAGGCCCGCCTGATCTACAGAGCAAGTTCCAGGATGGCCAGTTCTACAAAGAGAAACTCTCTCTTGAAAAACCAAAAAAAAAAAAAAAAAAAAAAGTACCAATTTACCACATTCCTTACAGGGTGGTCCCAGATCTGACCCTACCAGCAGTACAGGTAGTACACCAGGCTCCCAGATACCTGGCCATGTTTGACTGTCCAAGAACAAGAAGTTAAGTTCTCAGCTACTTGGGGTACATGATCTGTTTATCTAGAAATCTCCCTTCTCTCCTTTTTCCTCCACTGGCCCAGGCTAAGTCAGCTGGCTCACTTGCTTCTTCCTTTTAGCCCACCCTAGAGTAGGATCTCATGTGTGAGCTCCTGCCCTTCAGAAGGATTGGCACATATAGGAAAGACCAGCTCATAGCTGCCAACCTGCATGTAAATCATGGGCTCTGGAAAATCAGTGCCAGGGGATCTGCTAACCAATATCTGCCAGCAGAAACATTCCAAATGCCATCTCTTGCTTCTTTGAACAGGTGAGGCCGCCAGAAGCCCCACCTAGGACACAAAGGCAGTTTCAGGAGACCACTCTGACCCGCCTAACCTATGCATGTTACCTATAGGATCCGATCAACCTACAGTTAAGTCTGAAGAGAGACTCTAGAATGCACTGAAACAGGGGTGGTGCCTAGCCATGGCCAGCTGTGTTGTGGGGGACACTCAATGGGAAGTGAATGTGCCCAGGAGTCCCAGCCCTCATCACCTGGTGCCATAGGTGGCACAGCGGACAAACACAGCTGCATACTTGCTCAGCATCGGCTGTACATACTCCTGGCCCTGGTCCTCAATGGCTGGGTCTGGCAGCTGTCTAGAAGAATAGAGGGTCAGAAAGGCTGTTAGTACCTACTGCCTGTCTGTAGCTTGTGTGTATGGGGACCCTTACAAGCTATGCTAGCTGTCTGAAATTCCAAGGAGCCCTGTGGGGAGAGGAACCATAGGAATAGGCTTATTTATAACTTTTCTACTTGGCTCCTACTTTGTCACCCTTCCACTCCAACACTAAGTCTAGGTATCCAGATGGCACATACACTCTCTATTGTGTCTTAATGGTTCCCTATGAGCATCTGTCCATACACAAGAGCCCCCCCGAAACCCTGAGACTTAACAACCGGCACAACTTGTACCATGACTATAGTTATCAATAAAAAAAGCCAGAGCCATAATTGGCCTGCTCAAGTGATTGAGGACCATATGGGCACACGGCTGAGCAAAGCCCAGCACAGACCCCCCAAGAAGAAATCTGATGCTGAGGCTAGAGAATGATGTTATGGTTCAAGGTCCATAGTATGGGGGACGGGGAAGTACACAGGGGTCAAGGCAGTCCTCACCCTGTGGAGGGTGGCAGCATGGTGGGGGTGGGACTCCTCTGAGAAATGTAAGGTGAGCAAGATGGAGGGACACTGGATCATCTGGGCAGAAAGTGGCCAAGCTTAGATGAGAATGGGAAGAAGCACAGGGCTGTGAAGAGATCTATGTTGGCACTGTGGACACCGGGACGCCTGGCTTGGATGGCTAAGGCCCAAGGGCCCTGAGTCTGAGGATTCCCCATGAAGAAGGTCATGGGCATGGAAGAGCGTATGTGTGTGTGGGGGGTCTGTTTCTTCCAGGGACAGGTGTGTCTTTGCCTATTGTGAGGCTCCAAGGTCACTGGAGACAGGGCAAAGCAAACAATGTCAAACCCTAGGCCTGTTCTAACTGGCTTCTGGATTCTCTGGCTCTTCTCCCTAAGGTTTGCTGAGTAGCTAAAACCTTCTGGAATATAACACTGGCCCTCCTTGTAAAGAGGAAGGCAAGACCTCAGAGAACACCAAGTCTCCCAGAGCCCAGGCCCCTGGATGCACCATCTCTTATTATCCAAGGCCCCACTGGAAACCATGACTGCATCCCCAAGAGAAATAGGTTTGAGTCTTAAGGAAGTAGAGGAACATGTCAGATAAGGCACTCCTACAGTTGATGAGTCAATCTGCTTGCCTTCACAGACCTTAAAGGGAGCAGAGCCTGCCTTCTTCCCTGCTCTAGACTAGTGCTGGCTGTCCCAGAGGGTCTTGTTCACTTACGCCTCCTCATTGTTGAGGACATCTAGGAGCTGGGTGACAAGGGCGTCCTTAGGGAGTGCCTCACTCTGCTCCACCACTTCCATGAAGAGTTGTTTGCCAAAGCACAGCTTCTTCCAGGGTGTCTCCAACAGGGCATTGCTTAGCCCATAGGTTCCTATAGGAAGAAGGTCAGCCTGGCCATGCAGAGGCCACAGGTGGCTGGGGCAGATGGCTTACAGTCAAGCATCCCAAACAAGGCACCAGTAGAAGCCGAATCTGATGTAGGTCCAGCTGAGAACCTAGAACATCACTCTAGCTCTGCTGGAGCCCCCAAGCTCCTAACGGCACTGCTTTTTCTTTCTGGACTAGTTTAGAAGACCATTCCATAATGGAGCCAGGCAATTCACAAAGACGGAGTTGGACCTGATCTCACACCCTATGCAAAAATTACCCCAAAGCCAAAAAGATGGCTCAGTGGGTAAAGGCACCTGCCACCAAGCCTGATGACCTGAGTTTAAGCCCTGGGACCTACGGGGTGGAAAGAGAGAACTGACTCCTGCACTGTTTGTCCTCTGATCTCCACATGCAAACTGAGGCATGGGCACACAGGCATGTACACACACACACGCACACATGCACAACAAAGAAATGTTTGAGACAAGTTTATATGAAACCTATCTCCAAAAACCACTTTAGGATCAAATATGGTTAGGATCAAATGTCATGGTATGTATCTATAATTCCAGAACTCGGGAGGCTGAGGCATGGTTTGGCAAGTTTGAGGTCAGCCTACGTAGCAGGATTCAGGTCAGCCTGGGCTGAGTGATACTGTGTCCCAAAGTGAGCGCATGTGCTACCGCACACACATGCACAGGTGCGGTAAATAAATTTTTAAAAGAAAAAGCTTCATGACCCAGAGAGCAATGACTTATTAAGTAAGACAACACAAACATATCAACAAGACAAATGGGACTTCATATAAAGTTATGTATTTTTAAAAATATGCCAAAAAAAGTTAAATAAAATCCAAAGTAGGAAAGGATTTCTGCAAGTTGGATATCTGATGAGATTTGTAGATTATAGAACTTTTACAAGACTAAAAGAGAACAACATTTTCAGATGGACAGACCACACCTTTAATTCTAGCGTTCAGAAGGAGACAGAGGGAGAATCAGAAGCTCAATGTCATCCATGGATTGTGGGGTTTTTTTGTTTTTGTTTTTTGTGTTTTGTTTTTTTGAGACAGGGTTCCTCTGTGTAGCCTTGGCTGTCCTGGAACTCACTCTGTAGACCAGGCTGGCCTCGAACTCAGAAATCTGCCTGCCTCTGCCTCACAAGTGCTGGGATTAAAGGCATGTGACACCACTGCCTTTCAAAGATTTATTTATTTTACGTGAGTACATCGTAGCTGTCTTCAGACACACCAGAAGAGGGCATCAGGTCCCACTACAGATGGTTGTGAGCCACCATGTGCTCTCTGGAAGAGCAGTCAGTGCTCTTAACCACTGAGCCATCTCTCCAGCCTGTCATCCATGGATTGGATGTACTGAGTTTGAATCTGGCTAGCTTGGGATATATGAACCCCTAACCCCTCTGAAAAAGGGGAAGGTGGGTAACACAGGCCTGTGGAAGGAGCTCAGCATGTTTAAAGGCCTGGGTTCCATCTCTAGAACCCTCTCCCCTTAAAGAGAGAACAGCAAGTCTTGGTGGGAGTTCAGGAAACAGGAACCTTTGTAAACTGCTGGCAGAAGAGTAAAATGGTGCAGATGCTTTGGCAAATGTGGAAGTTCCTCAAAAGGCTTGAGAGAAGTATGGCGAATGGAGAGAGATGTATGGGCCAGTGAGATGGCTCTGCAGTAAGGCACTTGAAAAAACATGAAGTCAAGGGAGCCAAATTAGAGGTCAGGCTCCTCCACCACAAGGCTGCTTCCACCCAAATGAACATGTCCAGAACGCATAAACCCCACTAGACAGGGGGTAAGGAGGAGCAGGTGCACATGGGCCTGAGAGTATGACGAAAAAAATTGGAATTGCCTATAGCTCCCTATATAAACCAGACTGGCCTCTGACTCACAGAGATCTGCCTGCCTGTGCCTGAGTGCTGATATTAAAGATGTGCACACCATGCCCAGCTCACCATCAGTTCTTTTTTTTTTTTCTCGAGACAGGGTTTCTTTGTATAGCCCTGGCTGTCCTGGAACTCACTCTGTAGACCAGGCTGGCCTCGAACTCAGAAATCTGCCTGCCTCTGCCTCACGAGTGCTGGGATTAAAGGCCTGCGCCACCACCGCCCAGCTGCTCAGCTTCACCATCAGTTTTTGATTTTATTAATTTATTTGGTTTATTAAGATAAGAATCTCAGTATGTAACCTTGGCTAGCCTGAAACTTAACGTATATACCAGGTTGGCCTGGAATTCATAGAGGACCACCTGCCTTTGGCTCCCTGAGTGCTAGGACTTAAAGGTATGCACCAACACACCCAGCATCACATTTGACTGTTAATGGAGTCCATTTTGACCTCAAACTTTGATCCCTCTGGCTCAGCCTCCTGAGTACCACCACTCCCAGCTTACAGGAAACAAACACCCTGCCTGCCTCCCTCCCTCCCTTCCTTCTTTCCTTCCTTTCTTAAGAAAGAGGCTTGCCGGGCGGTGGTGGCGCACGCCTTTAATCCCAGCACTTGGGAGGCAGAGGCAGGCGGATTTCTGAGTTCAAGAGTTCGAGGCTAGCCTGGTCTACAGAGTGAGTTCCAGGACAGCCAGAGCTACTCAGAGAAACCCTGTCTCGAAAAACCAAAAAAAAAAAAAAAAAAAAAAGAAAGAGGCTTGTCATGGAGCCTTGGCTGGCTTTGAACTTATTCTGCAGATCAGCTGGCCTTAAAATTACGACTGTCTTTTTGCCATTGCCTCCCTTAGTGCTGGGATTATAGGCTTGTGTCACCATAGCTGGCTGTGTGATAGACTTTACACAGCATGTGAGGGTCACGTTTCAATGAAGGTTTGGTTTTTGAGACAGCATCATTCTGTTACCCAGGCTGGCTTGGCACACACTATGTAGTCAGTGCTGAATTTGAATTCAGGGCAAGTGGCCTGCTTAAAAGCAGAGGTCTGAGTGTTTACTAAGAGTATGTTTAGTAGGTATAAGAGCGTTAAGTTTGCCAGGCAGTGGTGGTGCACGCCTTTAATCCCAGCACTTGGGAGGCAGAGGCAGGCAGATTTCTGAGTTTGAGGCTAGCCTGGTCTACAGAGTGAGTTCCAGGACAGCCAGGGCTACACAGAGAAACCCTGTAACGAAAAAAAAAAAAAAAAAAAAAAAAAAAAAAAAAAAAGATCAAGTAGGGGCAAGCTCAGGAATGAATCATGATGTAGATGGGAAGAGATTGTACTGGAGAATAAGCTCCTGTCAGGGAGCCCTCTGCTCTGAGAACAGCAGGCTTCATACCCCAGCTACCTGTTGCTCTCCCAGAGGCCTCTGGGCCACTTGAGATTGGGCCGGTATGAGATGGACTCCTGGGATACAAATCCCCTTCAAAGGCTCTGCAGCAAACAGAGGGGCAAGGCCTGGTAAACATGAATCCAAATGACTGCCTACACTCAGGACTTCGAGTCAGGCACCAGCTGGTTCTTAGGGGTGCTACTGGATCTGTTCTGGGGCTTGCACAAGAAGCGGAGCACACACAGCACCAAGGGCACTGAAGGTACCACAGCTAGAGTGCCCACAGCTGGCAGAGAGCCCCTTGTGAGCTGTGTTGGAGAGCTAGTGGGATGTACTAGAACCTGGGCTTTGGTGTGAGCTGCCTGATGTAAGAGCTCACCAACCCATGACAGCCTGGCCTGGACATAACCCTGCAAGTGGGGAGGAGCTCTGGAGCCCCTTAGCCCACCTGGGGCTCAGACATCCCTGGACAGTCATGAAAAGCTGGAAATCAGTGTTGGCATGAACCAGTGTTAGGAATTCAGTATGCAGCAAGCCAGAACCACAGGCTCTACTGCTGGAGCTAGTAGCACAGGCAGGATAGGACTATCCAGCTTCCCTGGGGGCTCCTCCCCACCTCCCTTGAGTTCCACCTGGTACACAACATTTTGGGCCTCCCAACATGTGTACTGCAAACTATCTCAGTAACCTGTGCCACCTGCCTAAGAAAGGCTTCATGGCCTGGGGATGAAGAAACGATTACAAATGAAAACTGTCACATACAGGTGGGATATGGATGTTGTTGAGGACACTCTTTCCCTAGAGGTAGAGGGATACTTGATAGGAGCCAATGGCTCAGCTGTAGGCACCCAAGTCAATGTCCAAGGCCCATAGACCCAAGATGTTGCCAGCAAGGACTGTCCACAGGCTGTGAATAGGGAAAGCAGCTGGCCCCAGGTTAGTTCACCTGATGCTGTGCTGGACGCCAGTAATGCTGTTTCCCAGGGGTCTTTCTCAGTCTTACCACATAATATCCCCAATATAGGAGCAGTCCCCACCCTGTCTGGACACCAAAGCAGGCTCACCTGGTGTCAAGACAATAGGCTCAGGCTCCCCCCGGTTTCCATAGTAGCAAACAACATCTCCTTTTGCTGTGCTGTGAACAGAAGCCAAAAGCCAGAGAAGGTCAGATGGGAGTCATAAGCCCTTCTGTTCCCAGCACTGCCCAGTGATCTCATGGCCCTGCCTCTAGCCTGGGCTAGTGACTAGCACAAAGACAATGGCCTACTTCAGTCCAACTCAGGGCCTAGAAAGCTAGGCCAGAGACACCAAGCACTGTCCAGCCTTACAGGTATACTTCTGGCTCACTATGGAACCAGTGAGGAGGAAGCTGAAAGTTCCTCATACTTCTCTAAATATTCTGTGTCATGGATATGTTGTATTAACTGCACCGTGGTGGTCTGAATGTGCTTAGCCCAGGGAGTGGCATTATTAGGAGGTGTGTCTTTGTTGGAGGAAGTTTGGGGTTGTGGGGGTGGGATCTTGTCATGAGGGCACCACTCCCTTAATCTGTTTATCCCCTTGAAGAAAGGATTTAGCTTCACTGCACTTCCTGGTACCCCTTTAATACTTGATCTATATACATTTTATATTTTTCTTTCTAAGCTTGCTACACTTGATCAAAATGCTCTTCATGAGAGTAAGCCAGAGGACAACGTCTAAACTTGGTTAAGACTTCCTATGTCAATGAAATTAATCTAACAGGGAGTGGAACCAGCTCAAGAGAATGAAGTTTTTTGCTGCTGAATTGTGCTACAGTCAACAAGGCAGAAAAGAGTTGGAGATCTGAAGACTGCTTTGACATCAGCCATGGAGATGCAGAGCTTGGAGTTTGCCCAGCTGGCTTTTGGTCTTGCTTTTGTCCAGTATTTCCTTACTAGGACATTTTGGAATGGTAATGTATATCCTGTGATGTTGAAGCTATGTGATCTGATTTTTTTAATTTTGATTTTATAGGAAATTACAGTTAAGAGATTGCATGAATCTCAGAAAAGACTTTGAACTTTAGTTTTTACCATTGTTGAGACTGCTATAGACTATGGGGGCTTTTGGAGGTGGACTAAGTGTATTTTGCATTATGCTATGGCTAGGTATAGACCCCATAGATTCATGTGTGAACATGGGCGTGGCGGCTTTCCTCTTGTTCCACACGGACGCCAGGCATGACTGGCCCCAGCAGCTCAAATCTGGGTTTATATTCCTTTTACATTCTTCTTCACCCTGGGCCTTTGTAGGCCTTGGTTTCTTTTTGCTGTTTTTAAAGATTCATTGTGATTTTTGACTATGTGTGTATGAGTGCCTGTGGACGCCAGACACTAGGATCCCCTGGAGCTAGAGTTGTAGCATCCATTTGACATGGGTGCTGGGAACTGAACTCTAGTACTCTGCAAAAGCTGTATTTAGCCAGTGAGCCATCTCTGCAGCTCCAGAACTTAGTTGCTTGTGAGATTGCTCTTTAGCCGTCCTCTGACCTGGCAGGGTCTACAGCAAGGAAGGCTACTCAGATTTCCAGAGGTCCAACCACAGAAGCTACTTTGTATCTGCTCAGATTAAACAGCAGCCTGGTTTCCAGCTGTTTGACACAGCTACTGAATCCCGTGTGCATCGTAGCCATGCTCTGGTTTCTTGGGGCTGGATTAAACATACATGGGACCATTAGAGAAAATGCAGCTTCATGTTTGGAGAAGAGGCAAGCAGAATTTTATGGCCTCTAGGAGTCCACAAAGTGAGAAGGGAGGCTGGCACCATGCCGTTGCAGCTCCCACTCTGGGCCTTCATCTTGTGAGCACTGCACCTCACTGAGCTTCCACCTAAGTCAAATGTACTCATATAGTCCAGGAATGACACAGGGCACAGCAGACACACTGAGCCTCGGGCTCATCTATGGACCACCCCAATCCTCTGGTAGAAGGCAGGTCAGGACAGACTTCTGGATATAGATGGACAACAGCCTCACTCAGGAGGAAGCCCCCAGCTCATAGCAGTCAGATAGGGGAGATAAGGATGTTTACCTCCATAAAAGGCTAAACATGTAAAACTTGTGTTCCTATAGCCATATCATCAACATGAGGACCGCCTGGGAGTTCGTGGGCTTAGTGAGGACAGACTGCCTGTTATGAAGCATCCCCATAGAGGGATGAGGCCCAGCTGCAGTCATCCCAAGCCAGAGGCTCTTCAGTCTCAGCACTGACAGCTCCACACTGCAGTTCTCTCACTGTAGGGAGGCAGTGATCTTTAAATTGTCTCAAGAAGCCCAGAGCATTACTCCCTATTCTCAGTCAGTGGTCTGAGGCAGCTTAGGCCCTTCAGATGCTTGCCAAATACCCCTTAATCAAAGTCCTGGGAGAGGGAACCCAACTGACCAGGGCAGGGAGCTATAGAGAAGTGTTAAAGACCTGGTTACCAAAGCAAACCCACCTCAGGTCAGCTGCTATGAGGTTAAAGCCGTTGTACAGGTGGCCCTCTGTAGAGACCTTCTTCAGGTAGGTCAGGCTGTCCATGTCGCTGGTCAGAAAGTGAGACACAAGTTCACCTGTGGACAGGGCACACATATCAATGGCCAAGACAGCAGACATAAATTCCTGCCCCAGGGAAGACTGAAATAGGGTCTCTGGAGAGGCCAGAGGAAGGAGTTCCAAAGGAAGGGGTTCCATTGGGACTCCAACATCTAGAGTCAGCTATACTGACTGATAATTATGGAGAATGGTTTTAAAAATACTTTCTAGCCGGGCGGTGGTGGCGCACGCCTTTAATCCCAGCACTCGGGAGGCAGAGGCAGGCGGATTTCTGAGTTCGAGGCCAGCCTGGTCTACAGAGTGAGTTCCAGGACAGCCCGGGCTATACAGAGAAACCCTGTCTCGAAAAACAAAAAAAAAAAAAAAAAAATACTTTCTAGGCCTGGGTGGTGGTGGTGGGGGGGCATGACTTTGATCTCACAACTTGGGATGTAGAGGCAGGTGGATCTCTGCGTTTGAGGCCAGCTTGGTATATACAGGGAGTTTCCAGGACAGCCAAGGCTACACACAGAAACCCTGTCTAGAGGGAAAAAACATGTATGTATGTATGTATGTATGTATGTATGTATGCATGTATGTATGTATGTATGTGAGATCTCAATAGTGAAACCCTTGTCTAGCTTGCTTGAGCCCTAGGTTCAATCTCAACATAGTGGAATGAACAAATAAATGAAAGAAAGTAACGTTTGCCCACTCTGCCTCTGTGTGGAAAGTCAGCATTAAGAAAGATAAAACTTGGAGGAGAGGTAGATCAGTGGTTAAGAGTATTGGCTGCTCTTCCAGAGGTCCTGACTTTAATTCTAAGCACCCATGTATAATCTCACAAAGGTCTATGATGGGATACAATGCCCTCGAATGCAGGCATCTATGTACTCATACATGTAAAATACATACATAAATACATTTCTTTTTTTAAGACCTATTTATTTGTTTTATGTTAGTACATTGTCGCTATCTTCAGACAACCCAGAAAAAAGCATCGGATTCCATTACAGATGGTTGTGAGCTACCATGTGGTTGCTGGAGATTGAACTCAGGACCTCTGGAAGAGCAGTCAATGCTCTTAACCACTGAGCCATCTCTCCAGCCTATAAATAAATTTCTTTTAAAAATAAAAAGAGGGGCTGGAGAGATGGCTCAGTGGTTAGGAGCACTGAGTGCTCTTCCAGAGGTTCTGAGTTCAATTCCCAGCAACCACATGGTGGCTCACAACCATCTGTAATGAGATCTGATGCCCTCTTCTGGTGTTTCTGAAGACAGCTACAGTGAACTTATAAAATAAAATAAATAAATCTTAAAAAAAAAATAAAAAAAAAATAAAAAGAGGGTTGTGGGGGGGGATACATAAATAAATAGATAAATAGATAAATAAATAAATAAATAAATAAATAAATAAATAAATAGAAACTCATCAGGCAAGGGACAATGATACAGTGGTCAGGGAGTCATGAGGCTGAAGGACAATGCCTGGTATAATCACATTGGCAGTACTTGGCCATCTCTTCTTCCTGTCACTGTTGTGAGAGGCATGGGGGATGTGGGCCCACCAACAGAAACCCTGCCTTTCTTCCTTCCTCCTTACCCATTGTACCAAGACCTGTGTACTTGCATTACTCTGCCAGTTTTACCTAAGCTCCTCTCCAATGTTGTCTTGGCTTTGCCCTACCTAGATTCCACCCAATCCGATCCCATAGATCCCATACCTCTACCACGGGCATCTGGCTCTTGCCGGGGTTGTAGGTAGTTGGTGAGCGCCCCCAGCTTCCCACGTGTGCTGATGCCCAGCCATGTTCCTCCTGCCTTGCCTTCCTCCATGTCGAGCCCTACGGCAGATGACGACATTACCAGCAGCCAAGCTCCTGTGATGGGCCCCCCTCTTGCCCAGTCCTCAAGAAGCATGTTCCACAGCTCTACCAGGACACACAGCTCTTCATAGGGTAGATGCTGCTGCCACTAAGCCCCACATGAGGTTGTCCATGCCCATTGAGCCATAGGAAAGGAGCTGGGAGGTATGGTTCAGGGATGTGTATGTGTGAGAGAGACCTTAGACCACAGGAGGTGTCCCACCCAGACAATTAGGACACTGCTCTCAAGTCTGAGTTAAAAGCATCACTAAGATGCCATATGAGGAAGTGCTTGCTTGCATGAGTGTGCATGTGTAGTATGAATGTGCTATGTGTATATTTGTGTGTGTATGTGTACCTGCATGTGTAGTATGAATGTGCTATGTGTGTATGTGTACCTGCATGTGTAGTATGAATGTGCTGTGTGTATACTTGTGTGTGTATGTGTACCTGCATGTGTAGTATGAATGTGCTGTGTGTATACTTGTGTGTGTATGTATACCTGCATGTGTAGTATGAATGTGCTGTGTGTATACTTGTGTGTGTATGTGTACCTGTGCACGAGCAGGAGCTACAGAAGACACAGGGATCTTGTTACCACTCTCCACCTCATCCTTTACAACAGTGTCTCTCACTAAATCCGAACTAGGCTGGGAGCTGGCAGGCCTCAGTGATCCTGTCTCTGCCCCCACAGCACTGGGTTACAGGCACACAAGGGCATGCTGCTGGGTGCTAGAATTTGAACCCAGGTCCCCATGCTTCTGTAGCAAATACTCTTACCTGGTGAAGCATTCCCTAACACTAAAATGTCATGTTTCAAAGTCAATTATAACAGAGTAAGAAATATAAAATGTAAACACAGGAAGGAAAACAAAGCTCTATGATAGGATGAGTTCATATGCATAGAAAGCACAAACAGACCCAACAACGCACTAGCACCAGCACGTAGGTGGCCCTCGAGAGCTGGAGAAACAACGCTTACTTGTTCACTTTTTCACTGTTATTTGAGTCAAGGTCTCATGTAGCTCAGGATGGTCCTGAGTGTGCTACTTAGTTGAGGTCATCCTTGAACATCTGATTCTTCTCCCTTACCCTAAGTGATGAGATTACCACCCATGCCTGATTTATGCAGTGCATGCTAAGCAAGCACTCTACCAACTGAGCTACATCCCTAGTCCTATTTGTAAGTCAGGGTCTCATGAGACCGCCCAGGAAGGCCTTGGCCTGGACCTCATGGTGACATTCCTTAACTCACACCAGGCACAGAAGTTGATTTCAGATCGAGGAAGAGAGTTAGTGACGTGCTTGCTTGGCAAGGATGAAGAACTGTTTGATTTCCAGACCCGTCTAAGATTCAGGATGAGATGGTGCAGGCAGAGAAAGGCTGATCATGGGAGACTGTGATGGGACAGTGTAGATTAATGGGTAAGCTTCAGGCCAATGAAACTTTGTCCTGAAGTTGTCCTTTGGCTCCAGGTACACGTGTGCACACACATATACATGAACTCATACAATAAAAACTAATTTGAGACAAAAGTCAGACTGCCAGCTTAGAGGCTTTAATAGAAAAATGTTATGGACTGGGGGAGAAACAAGACAAAGAAGAATAAACCAAAAAATGTATATGTTAAAAAGTATCGTTCTGCTCACCAAAGGTACTAAGGTATTAGTCGGCAGCTCATTTCTCCATCAAAAGACTCATAGCCAGAATTCATAAAAACAAAAACAAAAAACCTACAAACCAACAATTGAAAAATGAATGAGTTCTCACTGTCTGGCCAAACAGAGTAGAGATTTCCTCTCCCACCTAAACCCACCAAAAATAAACCTTATGAGAACATGGACATTCATAGGAGTTGTGTGTGGATCAGATGAAATGTGATAGTGTACACTTCCAACCCCAGCAGCTGGAAGGCCGAGGCAGCAAGCTGCAGACCAGTCAGAAACACAGTGAGAACGAAGTGGCCTAGCAAGATGGATCAGTGGGTAATGGCGCTTGCTGCCAAGCCTGATGTTTGACCCCCATGGCAGAAGTGAGAGTGTATACACACACACACACACACACACACACACACACACACACACACCTACACTAAATAAATAAAGTGAAAGCAAAGCTGGGTGTGGTGGCACATGCCTTCCCAGCACTCAGGAAGCAGAGGCCGGGAGATCTCTGAATTTGAGGTCAGCCAGGGCTCATGGATGCATGGAAGGAAAAAAGGTAGGAAGGACCAACAAAAACATAGGGAACTAGTAAGATAAAAAGTTATCCTGATGGCTCAGAGGTTAAGAGCACTGACTGCTCTTCCAGAGGTCCTGAGTTCAATTCCCAGCAACCACATGGTGGCTCACAATCATCTGTAATGGGATCTAATGCCCTCTTCTGGTGTGTCTGAAGACAGCATCAATGTACTTATATACATTAAAAAATAAATAAATCTTAAAAAAAAAAAGATAAAGAGTCTGAGATCCAAGAACAAATGAGATGAGCCCATGAGCCCCCAGGGGATTTAGCAGACCCTGCAATCTGAGAACAGTGCTGAAGGGCCAGGGAGACTAAGGCAACAAGAGTTCATGGAACAGTAGAGCAGAGAGGCCAGAGCTTCCAGGAGATTCACTGTGACAGAGCGAAAGAACCACACACAGAAGGACCATAGTGGACAGCACTCACCCAGGGCAGGGCTGCCTGCTCCCAGAAGCCAGACTGGAAAACCCATTAACTCCTGGGGCTCTGGGTAAGTACCAAGGAAGGTGGTAGTAGGACGCCCTCAGGAATCAAAAACACTTAGCTCTAGTGGGGCTAGCTTCTCACCTACCTAACAAGCCTTAAAGCAAAGAGCAAACTGTCTCTTAATAATTGGCCCACATCTAAACGCAGTAATGATAATGGTAATACTTCTAAGAACACAAGAGATGCTTGATTCTGGGGCTGGCCAAGTCCCCCAAACCATTCATGGCTACTTAAACATTCAGTACCATTACTAGCCCTACTTGGTGGGTGGCACCTCACAAAACAAGTGGATCACAGAAAAGAACTGCTCCCCAGGTGCAAAGACACACTTACCACTGAGGATCTCGCTGTTGTTCCCCCAGAAGTCTGCCAACTTGGACGGCCTGTGGTAGGATTCGTCTCTGTTGGCTGCCAAAATGAGCCTGGGAGAAGAGAGTTCAAGGGGAGCCCTGTGGTAGGGACTAATCTGCATGTGCTCCACCATGGAGGCTGTCTTGTTTAACATTAAATCTAGAGCAGCAGCAGCATGAACAAGAACCCCAGCCCCACCCAGTCCTTGCTATGCAGGTAGCTCCTGGGAAACCACAGACCCCTGCTCAGGAGACAGGCAGGTGCTGGAAAGAAAGTATGAGACAGGATAGAAAGAAAATTAAGGGCACATGGGAATGGAAAGGGTTGAAGTGTCTCACAAACTCAGAGCTGAGAATTTTAGTAAAATGAATATTTACTGTTAAGATTGCCTACATTGGGCAGGCACATGAGATGACTCAGCAGTTAAGAGCATTAACTACTCTTCCAGAGGACCAGAGTTCAATTCCCAGAACATATATCAGCTCGCCTTTGACCCCAGCTCCAGGAAATTCCACACATCTGCTATCTGTGGGCACCTGTACTTTTGTGCACATATCTATAAAAATATAAATAATTTAATAATAATAAAATAATAAAATAATTTAATCATAAAAATAAATCTTTTTAGAAGATTGGCTACATAAAGACAATATTCCTTTTATATAGATTTTCTTTTCAAATAAGAATGTCAGATTAGGAAGCCAGGCCATGGTGGCGCACGCCTTTAATCCCAGCACTTGGGAGGCAGAGGCAGGCGGATTTCTGAGTTCGAGGCCAGCCTGGTCTACAGAGTGAGTTCCAGGACAGCCAGGGCTACACAGAGAAACCCTGTCTCGAAAACAAAAAAAACCAAAAAACAAAATGTCAGATTAGGGATGGAGAGATGGCTCAGTGGTTAAGGTCACTGACTGCTCTTCTAGAGGTCCTGAGTTCAATTCCCAGCAACCACATGGTGGCTTACAACCATCTATAATAGGATCTGATACCCTCTGAATATAGCTATAGTATACGCATATAAATAAAATAAATAAGTCTCTAAAAAAAAAAAAAAGAATGTCATATCAGCAATGAACAACTGTCCATGGGCATGGTCACAACTGTCCATAAGCATGGTCTTAGTACTTTAACCAGATGTTAATGAAGTTTGCTGAGACTCTCACAAACAAAATTGAAATCTGTTTACAGTAAAAGTACCTTCCCTGTCATCCATGTGACCTTTGTCTTGTTAGCTATTCTGACCCAGTGCCCAAGGAGCCACTGTATGAACTCTACAACCCTCTGAGCTGTTCCTTCAGGAGGCATGGAAACTACATGCATCTCTGAGATGTTCCTTCACACAGCACAGTACCCTACACCTTTGAGATGTACCTTTAGAAGGACCAAACTCATACACTGCAAAGACACCAAGACTTTCTGGGAAAGCCCATGCCTTTGCCCCTGAGTGTCTTATCCCATACCTCTGTGTCAAAAATCTACATTAAAATCTCTTCCTAATAAACACCAACATTGCTTCATACTGAGTCACTCTGAAATGTTTTTCCTTGGTAGTGATTTTAAGCTGTCTTTAGTCCCAGCACTAGAGAGGCTGAGGCAGAGGGGCAGATGAGGCAGAGGGGCAGGCGAGGCAGATCTCTTTTGAGTTCCAGGCCAGACAGGGCTACCCAATGAAACTTCCATCTAAATTCAAAACAAAACAAAACAAAACCACACTTTACCTTACCTAAGTGAATATCTCTCAGGCTGCTACAGGAGGCAGTGTGGAAGCATGGAGCTGTATCCCTGGTCTCTGCCTGATGGCCACTGGCAGGTTTTTGTAGCTCAGCTTGAGGAGAGAGATCTACTAGGTCTTGTGGGACAGCTTCATTCCATGTCATAACCCAAAATTGTCAGCCCAGTATGGATTCTTCATGGTATTACCAAGCACACAGGGACCAAGCTGGGTTGGAGCACTTTCCTCCTTTCACCTGTTTACCTGTCCACTGCAAACCCCCAAGCACATCTAGAACTTCCATCAAAAGGAGCTTGAGGACACACTGGACATGAGTAGCACCTGGGGCATGGGGATTCTCTGGGAGAGTGCCCCATCTTGTTTGTAGAATAAGGATAGAAACAGCCCAGGAATTGGCTCTCAAGCCTTCCGGGTCTCCTATAGGAGCCTTACCGCATCCAGTGTGCCCTACCCTCTTGTCCCAGTTCTCACTTCCAGTAGAGTCACCTAGGGTAGGGAGTCACTGTCCTTGATAAAGACACAGAGACTCAGAACAACTTTCTGCACCTTCAACAATCAAGTTCTCTTCTGCCCCTTCTGGGGCAGAGTTGTCCCTGAGGTGTCAGCAGTGCCAGTATTTGCAAGGACACATTTTTTGAGCCCAGCCTGCAGTGGCTAGGAAGAAAAACCCATAGTCCCCAGGCATGAGATGCAGTGAAGATACAGGGACTGGGCTGGGAGACCCCATTCTTCCAGGTGTAGGGTCAGCTTCTTCCTGGTCCTACTCAAGGTTCTTGCCCAAATACCAATGTTCCCTCTCTATTCTTGTTCCCTAAACTCCTGAAAATGAGTTGGGGATAGTGGAAGTCCCTGCTGGTAACTTGGGCTCTCAACAAGCTTTGCCCTGAGAGCCAGGCCAGGACCTCGACCCCAGTAAATGAAACGTGAAACAAAAAAAGGGGGAAAAGAAAAAAAGCTGCCTAAGCCGAGTCCTGTCCTAGGTGTTCAGCTACTTAGTTCTGAATCCTATGCTAGGTGCTCAGCTACTTAGTTCTGAATCCTATGCTAGGTGCTCAGCTACTTAGTTCTCAACTTTGTCTATGGGCATTGTTATGTCAGGCATTACCCGCATGCAGCCCATGGAGGCCAGAACAAGAACTGGAGTTACAGGTGGTTGCAAACTGCCATATGGGGTGCTGAGACACAAACCTGGGTGCTTTGGAAGAGCAGTCACGGCTCTTAGCTGCTGAGCCATCTCTCCAGCTCCCCAACTACATATTCTAAGCAAGAAATATGTTTGCCTCGATACTCAAGAAGACTAACCGCTGGGGTATTTTTAATCACAGGTTGAAGTGCTGATGGCTTGGAGAGATTCTGTAATTTACAGATGTATTAAGAGAGATAAGCACCCACATCCAGTCCTCGATGAGAGCAGAAACCACTCCCCCAGCTAACACATGGAGGGACTGTAGTGCCTATGAAGGTTCGTCTGTGCTCGGAGTTCAAGTCCCTAGCACCCATGTAACTGATGCATGGTGGCCTGCTGTAATTCCAGTCCTTGAAGGAAGCTGACTAGCTAGTCTACCCGTAAGCTCTGGATTCAACTGAGAGACCCTGTCTCAATGAATAAAGCAGAGCGCAATTGAAGAAGACTTGCAACATGAGCCTCAGGCTTCCACATGCATGTGTAGAAATGCATGCACACATGTGCACATGCATACCTAAACACACAAGTGTGCCTACAGACATGCCTACACACCCCATGCTCATGAAAAACATTTTTAATTAGAGTGCATCGTTTTCAGCTTTGTGGATGGGAAGGAATGAAACACTAACATTTCCCAAGGAAATGAAGAGGCATGTTTGCATTTGCATTTATAAAGACTGCAAGTTTCACCAGATCATGGATGGCTCTTTGGGTGACAGGACAGGCTACACTGACTTACTGTGGTTATTAATCAATCTTGTCAGAGCTGTTTAGGTTGTCTGTAAGAGTACTTCATATAATCAGTTATAAATTTTGAGGTAAACACAACCGCCACCATAGTGATAAGCATTTTTATGCTTAGAAGGCATTATGCTAGGTTGAACTAAGGCCCTGAGTTCAATAATTGCTTTATTGTTTTATTTTTGCAGTGCTAAGGATTGGAGCCAACTCTCTACTACTGAGTTGTATACACCTTATGCCCCACGAATTTCGAGCATCTTTTCCGGTTTTATATTTTGATTCTGATCTGGGAGACTTTATACCTTTGGGATGTTTGTACTAATCTTTGGGGATCTTGCTCGGGTTCTACAGCACTGCCCACTTGTCTTCCTAGTGAACAAGTCAGAAGGCTACTTGGCTGCACCTAAGGTGACAGCTGGAGGCTGCAGCCTGCCACTGTTACTGGACATCCCTGGAGCTAAAATAGAAGTAGCTACCGAAGTGAACTTCTCCCACAAAGTTGGGAAAATATGGCTTGTGTTTATTCAGTTGCCCAAGGCTGATTTAGTGAGATCTGTGTTAGGCCTCTTCATTTCTGTCAGAAACACAGACCAGTGTCCCATATGTTAATAGCTGAGCCCCCAACTCCCACCATGGCAGATCCACCATAGGCCGGTGACCTCAATAGCAACAGTTTATTGTCTTGTAGCTCTAGAGGCTGGAAGTCCAAGATGGAGGCACTGGCAGGGAGTTTCCGCTAAGGTCTCTGACTTCTATCTCTCTGTTCACAGCAGCCTTCTTCTGTATGTCTGTGCTCATCTCTTCTTGGGACACTCAGCATATTGAATCAAGGCCCACCCATGTAGCTTCATTTTACCTTAATCACTTCTTTGACAATCTCTCTCTAAAGAGTGTTGTATTCTGATACATTGGCAGTCAGAATTTTTATTTTTTGGTTTTTGATATAGGGTCAGTCTGAACCTCTTACTGTCCTAGAACTCACAGAGAGCTACCTGGCTCTGGCTCCATTGTGCTGGGATTAAAGGCCTGAACTACTACACTCAGCTGAAGTTAGATTTTTTTGGTTTTTCGGGACAGGGTTTCTCTGTGTAGCCCTGGCTGTCCTGGAACTCACTCTGTAGACCAGGCTGGCTTCGAACTCTCAAACTCAGAAATCCGCCTGCCTCTGCCTCCCAAGTGCTGGGATTAAAGGCGTGCGCCACCACCTCCCGGCGAGTTAGATTTTTTTAATATAAATGTTCAGATTTTTAAAGAAGATTTTATTTATTTTATATATGTGAGTACACTTGCTATTTTGAGACACACCATAAGAGGGCATCAAATCCCATTACAGATGGTTATGAGCCACCATGTGGTTGCTGGGAATTGAACTCAGGACCTCTGGAAGAACAGTCAGTGCTCTTAAACGTTGAGCCATCTCTCCATCTCCTGCAGTTAGAATTTAAACACAGGAACCCGGGCATAGTCTATCCCATAACATCCTGTGATTTATGTCGCTGTCTAGTTACTTTTTTATTGCTGTGATAAAACATTATGACCAAAGCAACTTATAAAAAAAAGTGTTTAGTTTGGGGCTTACAGTTTCAGAGGATTAGAATCCATGACAGCCAAGACAAGGCATGCTGGCAGGAACATTGAGACCTTACACCTTAATCCACAAGTTGGAGACATAAATGAGTTACTGGGAGTGGCTCAAGTCTTTTGAAATCTCAAATCTCATGCCCTGTGACATACCTTCTAACAAGGCCATATGTTCTAATCCTTCCCAAACAGTTCCACCAACTTTGGAACCAAACATTCAAACACATGAGCCTATGAGGTCATTATCATTCAAACCACCACAGTAGCCCTAGTCTGTGCCCTTGGTAGTTTGACTTTATAGGAACAAACATAAGGAGACTTTTCTCCCACTTCACCAGCCATCTGGAACAGCAATAGGTAAGACCTGAGGACCGAGCCTGGCTTTATGATCAATCTTTTTTTTTTTTCCTCAGAGTTTTATCAAATTGGTATTTAAGGCTCATGTCTTTTAAGTCTGGTTTTTAATTATCCTATTATTGATTGGGTCAAGTTTGATCCCCAGGGTCCCAGACTAACTAGATGTTCCAGTGACTTGCAGTTAGGCCCAGGTGGTGACTGGTGAGTACCAGATTGCTGAAGCAGCCTCTCCCAGCAGGGCTCAGGTGGGTGGAGCTTGTCACATGCACAGGCCCGAATATTCCCTTGTGAGAAAGGAACAGGTGAACTTCAGACACAAAGATTTTAAGCCATGTCTCAGTGTGGATCTGTTAACAGCTGAGCACGGTTGAAAGGAAGGCAGTGAGTACAGGGTAGCCCCCAGGAGCGGGAATGGTAGCAGTGCTGCCTTTGTTGGGAATGGTAGCAGTGCTGCCTTTGTTGCTGTGTGTCCTCTTCCTCCTTCCCGTCTGCTGTGTCCTACCTGAGCCCACTGTGTGCAGCCATAATCACATAGGTCTTTACTAGCTACTGTATGTGATGTACATTTGCCAATTTCTTTCTTTCTTTCCTTCCTTCTTGTCTTTTTTTAATTTATTGTATGCATGCTCTGCTGCATGTACACCTGAAGAGGGCATCAGATCCCCTTATAGATGGTTGTGAGCCACCATGAGGTTGCTGGGAATTAACCTCTGGGAGCACTGACAGTGCTCTTAACTGATGAGCCATCTCACTAGACCCCACTTACCAGTTTCTTATCTTTCTTTCTTCCTGTTTTAATATCACCTGTAGGTGGGTCTTCAAGGAACAAACTATCAAGTGAGCTCTGGCCAAACCCGGGATACACATATTACCTAAGACTACAGAACTATTAGGCTGTGCCACCCCAAACAGAAACACAACTTTGTTTTTTCATGAGCCTAAAGGCAGAGGAGAGCAAGGAGGGGCCATGCCACTCCCAGGTTAGAAAGTGAAGGCTCACAGTAAAGGGTGCTTTACTGCCTACACTGCAGAAATGAAGCTCAACTTTGTTGTTGGTACAGTTAGGTTTTACCAGAAGGCACTGGAGACACACTCCATGCTTTCACAGGCAGAAGGCTCCGGAAACCTGTGGCTCCCCACGTCTTAGCTCCGGCAATGCACAATAGAAGTGGCACCAATGGGCAAGTACCTTCACCTAGCACCTGCTCTGTGACCAATGTCATACATAACTTTATGTACTTTAGAAGGCAGACTCCCGCAAGATCTAGCAGGATGACACCTGAAGACATCTTGCATCTTGGCCATTAAGGACTCACAACTGTGCCATCCATGAACCCCGCCCCCTTTTTCTTTCAATTGCATGTGTCTGGCTGTTTTGTCTACATATATGTTTGTGTATCTCTGGAGTGCCTGGTGTCTGTGGAAGCCAGAAGAGGGCGCTGGATTCCCTGGAACTCAAGTTACATACAGTCGTGCAGTCCTCTAGAAGAGCAGCAAGTCATCTCTCCATGGTCCCACTGTGGACTGACTGTCATGTGGGAGTGACGGATAGGGCGCTGCTCTGTGCAAACACTGCAGTGGCTGCCTCTCATATCCGTTCTTCGGGAATTCATTACTCTGTTCAGTTCTTGCCAGACAGCCCTGTGCTGTAACTAGCTGTTTATCATTTTCCTTGTAAGATGCCATCTGCAGATGGACCCTGACTCCCTTTATTCTTCTGCCAGAGCACAAGAATCACCTCGTCCAGCCTAACCCAACTCTGTTGCCTGTCCTCTGTAGAAGAGAAAATGCTGAGTCCCTACATCCTAGATGGAAGTGAGGGAACTCAGCCACTGTGCCAGGCATGGTCGTGTCCCTGTCATTCTGCAAAGTGACTCAACATGAGAACCTCACTGAAAATACTTGTTTGTTTCTGGAACACACCTTAAAATTTTGAAAACACTCCAGACAAATGTGTGAGAGGAGTTCCAAAGTCCATTTCCGGTTGTGGGTTAAATTTCTGCTTTGTGCTCTACATGGGCAAACAAATGCTAGTGTGCGCTAAAGAGCAACGGTTCCCTTCTCTGCCTGCTGTTTCCCATGTCCTTGGCTGGTAATCAGTTACTCCAGCTAAAACCCATGGATGCTTCCCTCAGTCTGCCACCAGCCTGACACCTCACCCAACCCAACCCAGCAGCATGTCTCCCTGTCACCACTACTCCAGTTCTGCAGATGTGACCCTAATCAGCTCACAGAACTTCAGATCATCCTTCTGTCTTGCTATACTTGTACATCAGCTCTGAGCCTTGCTCTAGGGTGCTGTTTCTCCCAGCACTCCATGCTAGCAGTCACTGTCCAAGACAGCAAGACTAGGCTTGTGCAGGATGTCTCCAGGCCTCCAGAGGCCGGAACTTAGTTATTCAGAGGCTGGCCCACACACCAAGAAGCCTACCCTTGTCTCTTGCACACATGGCACCCCAGGGGTGAGGAACAGCCATGGACCCCAGGCCTGGAGCAGTGTGGCAGAGGCAGAACAAGGGCATTCATTACCTGTATGCATTTTTGGAAACAGGACGAGGATCAAACTTAAAGAAGATGATGCACATGGGTTGCGAGGGTGGCTTTGCTCACACGGTCACAAGGTCTGTGGGAAAAGGAGAACAATGAGCTGTGAACAGCAGCGTCAGAGCCTCTCAGATGTCTTCAGCAGTGAGTGGGGCTGGCCTGGTGAGCTCCAGATGCTTGGGGACATAACAGACATGTCCCCTCTCCTGGGCCCATCAGCATCAGCTTGTTAGTCCACCACGTGGGGGTGACCGCACACAAAGCTGGAGTGAAGAAGTAGCAAGTCCCCTCCCCAGCAGCAGCACCAAGTACTGCCCATGAGCCACAGAGGGAGACACCTTCATCTCAGTCCATGGTGCCCTAAGGCCAGGCATCAGGGCCCACTCACCTGAGATGACCTGTGACACATGTCCCCTCAGGCCTTTACCTAACACACCCAAAGGACCTAATGGTTCTGCATACCCGCATTAGTAGAAACCAGACTGCCACCAAAGCAGTGCCTGACCACAGTGGTAGAGGGGCTCGGGACACAGACTGTCATGGCTACATCCTGCCTTAGAGCCCTGGGGAAGCAGGCAGGTTCAGCTTTCTGTGACAGTGCCACAACATCTGTCCCAGAGTATCTGGCAAATTGGGGCTTAGAGTTCAGCAACCTCCAGAGAGGCATAAAGACAAAGCCATGTAAAAGACCTTCCCTAGAACTAGGCTGAGACAAATGCTCACAGGGTAAGGGAGAATTACAGCTATCTTCAGAAGCTTGTGGAATACTATATATAAATAGAAGAGGAAAACAGGGTGTGTTGGGCAGGGCTTGAGCTCAACCCCAGGAACTCACACATAAAAGGAAAGAACTGACTCCACAAAGCTGTCATCTGACCCCCCCCCCCCCGTCCCCGGCAGGTATGCTGTGGCATGTAATCTCACACCCACACACATCAATAATTATACACAAAATTTCAAAAATAAAAAGGAAAAGGCTGGGGTGATGGCTTAGCAACTGAGAAAGCTGGCTGCTCTTCCAAAGGAACCAGGTTCAATTCCCAGCACCTACACAGTAGCTCACAGCCATCTGTAACTCCAGTATCAGAGGGTCTATTCTAGCCTCCATGGGTACCAGGTACACACACGGTGTACACACATACATGCAGGCAACATATTCATACATACAAAAATAAAATAAAATGGGGGTGCTCTAGGAGAGATTGTGGCATCCCTAGCATTCCATAAAACAGGGACAGAGTCACACAGTGGGGTGAAGAACCCTAAAATTCACTGACCTTGGCAATTAAGAAAGATTGACATGCATATCACAGATTAGCCAGTCTAGAAAAACAAAACTAGCCAGGAAAACAGCTATGGGATAGAAAAAGCAAGAGAGAAAACCAGGGGTCAAAGTACAAAATGGAACCTTTACAAAGTTCTTTGAAAACTGACAGCCATAGGGACTACATAGGCCAACATTACAGTGGGGAGTGTGTGTGTGTGTGTGTGTATATGTGTGCTTGTGTATGTTTTCACAAGTGTGTGTGAGTTTATGTGTGAGTGTGTCTGAGACAGAGCAGTAATAAATTCAAGACCATATTGGACACAGCTAATGAGACAGCCCAGCAGTTATCCAGAAGCAGTGAAAAGAACCAGTGCAAAGAACTTCATGCTGGGCCTTGGACCTACATGTCCCTCCTACCAGCTGCTGGTGTGAGGAAAGAGCCCATCACTCTGGAGCTCAGACTCCTCTGGTCCTCCCTAGGCTGTGTTCCTAGCTATGGGCAGGGCCCCCGGCAGAAGCAGCTGTCAGCAGACATAGCCAGGTCAAGGGTGTTTCAGTTCAGCTGCAGGACCTGCCATCCTAGCTGGCCCAGGAGGGCAGCAGACCAGCCCTCTAGGTTGGAGAGGTGGGGAGGGCTCCAAGGTCCACAGGAAGGCCATCGATGTGTCCCCAGGCAGGCTGGAGTTGGAGGTGCTGTCAGAGCTCAGGGCTGCAGCCTCGATGAAGACGCAGTCATTGGGAGAGAAGGACCAGAGGAAAGCCAGCCCCTGGGAGGGGACCATCAGGAACTGCCTTTCTCTCCAGTCCCTCACCCCCCGCTCAAGCCAGGCCCGCTGCCCCACAGCCCCTCTGCTGTCTCTGGCCAGCAAATTACTCCTCTTACATTTCCTGCTATACCTTTCCCATAACAGATTCTGCCTTCACCTAATCACAGATGTTTTCCCCAGGAAGCTACTGGCAAGCCCCTGTGAATGCCAGGCCTCTCCAACCCAGCACCCGTGGATCAGATGATCTTTTCAGGGCCTGCTGAGGTTCCCTCTGACATGCTGCTCTTTAGCCCCTTTCTTGTTCCTGTTCACCTGTGGGCTGAGAGCAAACCCCAAGTGCATTCCCTGGCCAGCTGATCACACACTGTGTACAGAGAAAGTAGGTATGTAGACAGTCAGAACCACCTCATAGGGTCAACCCCCTGAGCACACCAGATACTTCCCATGCTCTCTGGACCAGCAGAGCCCATGGGACCACAACAGACCACATGTTCCACAGGATCCTGAAAGCCCATAAGGCTGTGCGTGAGGGCCATGTCTCAATAGAGGTGTGCCTGGCTCTCCTCATGACAATTCTCCCTTGCTGTTCCTGGGCTTATTAGCGAGTGGGTTCAGTAGAATTTCTTTTCTTGGCAATCCAAAAAAGCCAGAGTGACCAGGGTCATACAAAATTCTAGAATTGCTTGAAGCCAGATTAGTCAGTCACAATGGAGAGAGATTAAATTAAAAAATAAAACTCAGCCAGGCGGTGGTGGCGCACGCCTTTAATCCCAGCACTTGGGAGGCAGAGGCAGGCGGATTTCTGAGTTCGAGGCCAGCCTGGTCTACAGAGTGAGTTCCAGGACAGCCAGGACTATACAGAGAAACCCTGTCTTGTAAAACCAAAAAACTCCCTGGAAGGCTTGAAGAAATAGCTCAGCAGTTGAGAGCACTGGCTGCTCTTCAGAGGACCTGGGTTCATTTCCCTGCATGCACAAGGTGGCTCACCACCATCTGTAACTCCAGTTTCAGGGAGTCCAATGCCTTTTCTGGGTTCCCTGGTCACTGCACATGTGTGGTACATAGACATACATGTAGGAAAAACACCCATAAACATACAATAAAATGTAAAATAAAACCAAAAAAAACCTGTGGGCATTTGTAGAAATGGAGGAGAGGATGACATCCTGCTGAACACTGGGGCTCCAGACCTGTGGAGGCCTCTCTGAAAGCACTGAGCAAGACTGTGACAGTAGATTCTAGCCCAGGGACTGGGACCCACACAGAAACTCTTGAGGTTACAAGTGCAGAAAGCCTACATCTCACTCCACTTGTCACTGGACAGAGGGCTCACATTGTGTCCTTGGCCTGACTAGAGAAATCGAGCACCCCATTTCCTGGGGTCGATCTCCACCAATACAAGCACACTTCTCTGCTCAGTGGGTTCACTGGCAGCCAAGGTGTATAAGAGAGTCCTCACTAACACAAAGCCTTGGGCAATGCCAGATAGGTTCTATTACTGTGACTTGTGACAGTGGCCTTGGGACATGTAGTTATCCGCTGGATACGACAAAAAGTCAGCCACATAGGCCAGAAATCTGCCAATTCCACACAATTAAGTCCCAATAAAACCATGGATACCCAGGTTGCCAAGTTTTCTGGCTGGCAAATTCCATGTGAGTTGTTCACACACCACTGCTGAGAATTGAGCAGGGGCATCCAGCTCCACTGAGAAATGCCAAATAGGAACCTGTGCCTGGTCTTGCCTGAATTCTGTGCTCTGTCCTTTTTCTGTTGTTGATTTTAATCTATACCCATCCCTTGTAATAAACTATAAATATGAATACGGGGCCTTTAGAGTTCTCTGAATCTTACTGATCAGTTGAGTGACAGTGGTCTTGAACTGTGGCCCTGCAAGGAGTAACTAACTACACAGTGACTCAGAGAGAAGAGAGCCCTGGTGTAAGGCCATGCAGTGGTCCCTGCTTCCTGATAACGCCCTAGCCCTCTCACTCCCTTCCACATCTGTGCACTGCTTGATTCACCACACCCTTAGAACAGGCTAGACCCTTGGGCCCATCAACAGGCTCCACTTGGGCCCACTTCCACAGCTTGTCCACTGAACCCAGGTGGTCCAAGGAGCCTACCTGTCCCTTTGCTCTACCAAGACATCCCACAGGGCCAGAAAACTCTGTTGTTGGAGTCTGTACCTGATCATGGGCTGGCCAATCGGTCAAACCCAGACTCCACACAGCCATCCTACAAAGTAAGAAAAGATCAAATCAAAGTAAGACAGAAACTCAGTAGGGAAAACATTAAATTCTGTAGCTCCAAGTTGACACGTAGGGCTTGGAATGTAGCCTGCATCAAGCCTGGGACAAATGGCTGAGGTGCCTATTTAACATACAAAAGCAGACACTGGCCACTAGGTCCCCCCAGTATCCTCAGTCCCTACCTGTTACTAGAGGCAAAATCTTTTAAATTCAGACTCTATTTTAGAGAACCTGACCTAAGTTTGAATTCAGGTAAATTAACAGACCAGTACCCAGCATTAGTTTCCAAGTTACTCCCTAACAAGTTCCCCTGAGCCTAGTTCCAGTCTCTAGGCTCACCCCCAACAAGACCCGCATCCCCAGGTTATACCCATAAGAAGATCAGCATCTCTGCATCCCCAGATTACAAGCCCACCCCCTGCCTAATGACTACCAATGCAGAGGGGAAATAGAAATTAAGTTTACGATTTGATTCCCAGCACTTTGATTCTGAAGGCAACAGAAGCTTTCCAATTAGATGCTTACACACTTATCCCAGCCCCCATTTGCTGCTTACTGTAAAGCCTTCCCCTGATAGATATTCGGGGCTCCTCATCACCAAAACCGTCCTCTGTGACGGTGGTGTGCTGAGGGGCCCAAGCTGGTACTAATAAAAAGCCCTACTGTGATAGGATTGGATCAGCTCCAGTCTGTTTTTGGGGGATCTCTAACATTTCCCTGGCACTGCAGGGCCCTCTAGGCTAGCATACTCCTAACTCTCCAGTCCAGGGCTGGGCTGCTCTTCCCCATATAA